TATGCTGCTACGTTCTTCAACAACCTCAGTAAACATTGCCAATACTAATCATTAATTTAGAAAGGGCAGAAAGCATATATCTTGGATTAGACTGGAACCCACAGAAAGGCATCTTTGGAATATTTTCATTACCTGGTGTAAGCCTGCCACAAAGGCAGTGGAGCAAACCACACAGAAATTTTTCCTGGTTGAAACTATTGAGTTCAACCAGTTTGGCTCGTGCTTAAGAAAAGGATGTATTTGAAAAGAAGACAGGCTCCAGGCATTCAATGCACCTCGAAGACACTTCAGAAAAAAAAAACAAGGGACAGCAAGAGCAAAGTAAAGGTACTTTTACTCACAAGTTTTCCCAAGAATGAGCAGAACATGCCAGGATTTGCTTGCTGGCAATTGAACATTTCAGGCCAAATGCAACATTTGAGAATTTTTGTTTCATTAGGCTTAGCAAAGATAAATTCAGACATGAGTTTAGTATGTTTTCTTAAAGACAGTTTGTCATCAAAAATGAAGCACTGCTTGGAGTTGCAATGTGAAATTTTTACATGCCACAATTTTTTACATTTGAATCCTAATATGTCACAACACAGCCCTATGTGATTTTGCATGGGCTCAAAATATAATCTATAAAAAGAAGAAAATATGCAAGAAGAGACAACGTGCAAAAGAATACATGCTTTTCTCAGGAGCAGACTGCTAAAATCCACTCAAGTTACAAGTATTCAGATTGAATGTAAAATATCTGGAAGAAAGTAGATGACCTTGGACACTTATTTAGGGAGTATTATAAAGAAAACAGCAATTTCAGTATGATGTTGCTATAATCTGGTAAATAATATTGCTGTGGAAAAATGTCTCAACAAATTTGGTCTCTTTTTGAAAGAAACATGATGCCATTATTGGCTTAGACCTTGGATTGCTTGAAGTGCCTGGGGTAGCCAAACTTTGCTTATTTTAACTGCTGCCATTTGGTCCCAAATGCCTCTCCTCTTTTATCCTAAGTAGTCATTTCCATTTTCCTTAATGCTTTACTAGACTGCTAGGAGGAAAAATAATGACTTTTGAAGGTGCCCTATGACACACCCAAGAGATCTTTTCCCAGGATATGGTCCTTCTAAGAAATAGGTATTTAGGGCAAGAAGAGTCTGCAGTAAAGAGCTTTGCAGTGATGAAAAAAGTCCAGCCAGTGTCTCTTGCAGCCATTGCTGTAGTGTTTAAAATGCCAGAGCACCATATTCCAAGACTGTGACTTTAAATTTCTCAAGCAAATTGTGATCCTGTGAGCTTAAAAAAGGGAATGATCTTCCACCAAAAGAAATGGATTTAAGTCCTTTCCATAGAAATTCTCTAAAAGGAGATGCTACTTTAGGGAAGCTTTGTTATCTCAGAGTTAATGCCAACTTACTCCTTCTGATTTAATTATTCCATTATCATCTCCCCCAGTATAATATCACTCTTGGATGAATTACTCTGTGAGCTCTTCCGTGTACAGAATCCATTTTCTTCTTGTGAACTTTTATTAAGAAAAGCTGTTTTGGAAATCGTAAGAATTGTACTGCACCTACATAATGATTTTAATAAAATTACTTTCCAGATAAACTTTCTTCTATGCACACTTTATATCAAAGCTGAATGATTCAGTAGAAAGACTCCTACAACTTGCATACATTTTAGCTCAGGCTTTTAGATATAAAAGATATAATGATGACGTGCTAGACCACACAGTTCTTTACAATGCCAGTGTGGGAAGGTCTGCTACTTCATCACTCTGAAGACAGAAGTAAATTAGGTTAGTATTAATAGGGGCTAAAGATAGCTTTCCAACCTTTTTCTTCAGGATACTCTTGAATTCCTTTCAATGCTACTGTTTTACTCTGGTATCACTACACACCTAGTATATTGAATTGCACAGAAGCAAATATGCAATGAGACTCACTTCTCTCCATCAGTGATCAGTTTTTCAGGGACTGTAATGGTGAGAACCATTGCATGTAGATGTAGACATGTTGGGGCACAGTAAAAAGTTTCAAAGAATCATTAAGCTCAACCTCAAAATAAATAAATTACATTTTTTCATTAGGATAGCAGCTTTTTCTAGACAAGACCTAAACATATGCAAATATGTCTCTGAGATCAGAGAATTATAGAATAATTTAAGTTGAAAGACACCTCTGAAGGTCATGCACTCCAATCCCTTGTTCAAAGCGGAGCCAGCTTCACAGTTAGATCAGATTGCCAAGAGAGCTCATGTGGTTAAATACCGCAGTATGATCTCTGCAAGGAGTACTTAAAGTAAATGAACTAGGACTCTGGTTAAGATTTCACTGAGGCTTTGCCATAAACTGTATGACTGCCTTGAGGCCTGAATTCAGTACTCACTAAAGCCCATGGAAAAACTTCCATTGATACTGATGAACTTTGGATAGGTCCTTTCATGTCTTGTCTCTATATCTGTGAAGTAAAAATGACAACAAACTACAGAATAATAGTATTTCTCTATTGTAGTAGGATACTGTGAGGATGAATTCAACAAATGTCTGTTGGCTACTTGAATGCTGCTTCTTTTTACTCCCTTGTCTTCAAAGCCACACTTATATTTAGATAGATCTTTCTAAGGCAGTTATATGGCCCCATTACTGAGGATCTGAACAGCTCACAGCCTTTAATGCTTTTATCCTCCTAGCACCCCTCTGATGTAGAGATGTTCTATTATCCATGCTTTACTGATAGAGAACAGAGATAGTAAAGCTCAGACTGGTTCCAGTGGGAATAAAATGCCTGCTTACCTTTATTTCTGCACATAAATGGCTTGCCCAAGGTCATTCAAGCAGTCTGTGGCAGAGTGAGTGTTTCTATGTTTTGAATTCCAGGTGAGACCCCTTTGCCTTAAACAGAGGCTTTTTTCCTTGAATTCAGAGCTTAGTGTAGGGCAGCCAATGGAAAATATAGCAGATTTGAAAAGCAGAAAAAAATAATGAGAGTTTATGTAGCTTTTGACTAAAGGAAGAGTAATGGGGCTGGGGGTTGGGAAGCACTATTATTTAAAAAATGCTCATTGTATAGAAGTATACTTTTCAAGAGCTTCAGCTGTGCTAAAATAGCTACCATAAAATCTGGTGAGGAAGAGGTTTCAATCTTTTACAATGTCCTGGTGGGAGCCAGTGAGAAATGAATGGTGGAGTTGAGAAAGAAGCTGGTATAATCATAGAATCATAGAATGGTTTGGGTTGGAAGGGACCTTAAAGATCATCTAGTTCCAATGCCCCCACCATGAGCAGAGACACCTCCCACCAGACCAGGTTGCTCAAAGCCCTGTCCAACCTGGCCTAAAACACTTTTTAGGGAGGGGGCATATACAACTTCTCTGGGCAACCTGTGCCAGTGTCTCATTACCCTCAGGGTAAAGAATGTCTTCCTAATATAAAATCTAAATCTACTCTCTTTCAGTTTGAAACCCATCCGGTTAAGCAGCCAGGATCAGGCTGTTAGAGCAGGCAAATTAGCAGTGGTGTGATAGGAGAGAAGAAGCAGCGAGACAAGTTTTCAGAAAAGTATAGCACAGATATGTTGGGCATTGTTCTGCTAATAGAGAGCGTCTGTCCAGCGTTTAGTGGCCAGCCCAGCCCTAAACCATGACAGACATGCAAAACAGAGTTTTTCTATATGATTCTATTTCAGTGGACACTTAAATGGTCCTAATGAATGCCTTTAGGTGCCTAAATTCTGGTAGCATTCAAAACAAACAATACAGGAAGTTGAGGTCTACTTTGAAGCATCACATGCCTCTGGAAGTTTATGCTTTGCTAAGGGGATGACAATGACAAGGAGGAAATTGGAGGATATTAGTTCAGGTCACTGGTATTCATCTTCTGGTGAATCATAAAAAGAAGCTAGAGTAGACATTTTACCAACATAGTAGTATAAATAATGAATGGACATATTTACTTAAGTCCTACATTCCTAAAATGACAAGGTCCAGTACTCCTCTTGGTACAAGAAGGCAATACCTTTGCAGCAGTAGGGACTTTTTCTATTGACAAAGTGAGATTTTTAGCTCAGGTCTGACAGGCTGAAAAGTGTCAAGTCCCCAGATCAGTCAACAAAGACTTGGAAGACTCTTGCATTCTGAACAAGCAGTGGTTATAATTAGGGGGAAAATCAGTTCCTGCCCTTAATCTACTTCATAAAGCATAATACAGAATGCACTGATGTCATTAAATACAATTACATTGCACAAGTAGACACCAGAAGGTGTTTATTGTTCCTGTCTAGCTACCAGTCCAGTAGACTTTAGTTGTTATTAATAAAGCGTATAAAATTGTAATAAAGAAACAGAGCTCAGGCTGGATATGGAGGTCCAATTCTAACAAAGGATTAAATTGTCTATAACTAAGGAAGCATTTAGAATCTCACTGGGAATGAAGAAGACTTTTATATTAGGAAATATAACATACTTGACAACAAAATAGAGTTCTACTTTCCAAACTTCTGGCAGAGATTTCCTGGTCTTGTAATGGCTTTATAGTGTGGAGGAGTAAACATGAGGAAGGTCCATGCAAGAAGCGTGCAAAAGTGTAGTCTCAGTGCTATATGTAACACAAGTATTCCTTGAAGAATTCAAATAGAAAAGGACTGGGAGTGCAAAAAGGGTAGAGAGGATGAAGACTCACAGTGTTGTTGCTATCATTATGAAATAGAGATGGCTTGAGAGGAGCAAGCTGTAGTTGGCAAAATGATATCACCCTGTACAGCCACACAGGCAGTATGAATCATTTTACTGAGCAATGGAAGAAGTTAATATTGCTATCAGTGCAAACAAGTAAAGCTGCCAAATTCCTGCATTGATGAGATATACAAATAGGAGCACTGGAATGCTCAGGCCAACCCTTACAGCTAAACCAGCCAAACAAAACCACAATCCTTTTAAAAACCCAACACACAGCACAGGTTAACTCCAGCACTACAACAACTGATGAATCAGCAATATTTTTAGTAGAACTTACCTGTGACCTTGCCCAAGGTGAGTGATTTGATGGCCTTAAAATCAATCTCAGAGAAGTTGTGTTTGAGTTTGAGGACTTGATCAACCTGGAAGAGGTCAATAAAATTAGTTCATTACAACAGCATGTAGACACCCCTAGATCTCTCTGTACTGCAAGCTTCTGGGAACGCTCTCAGCTGCAAATCAGTTAATTCTGCCCCCAAGCGTGATTCAGTTTCTAAAGATAGCAAAGTGAATGTGCTTTGATTTTAGCATGAGAAGCTGAAAGGTACACCAGAATAGCCATATAAAGGACTTTGAAGAAATTTCCCCTGCAGAAAAGCTTAAAATGTTTGAAACTGAAATCCCCATGCTTCCCAAAATCCATGTCGAGTCACCTCAGAATACACTCAAAGGAGGCCTCTCCAGAAATGTATTGTGAAGAATTAGTTCTGCATAGAAGAATAGCACAGCGCAGCAGACAACAGTCTAGGCCTACCCACCCTAGTTGTGTGCTGTGTTATTTTACCACTCAGAAATTGAAAATGTAGAGGAAAGAAAACTGTAGCAATTCCTGTGTTTCTGTCTCCTCATTTTAATTCTTTACCACATGGCTTCTCTTTAGACTCTGCCAACCTTTCCTGTTAAATGACTGGTGCCCGGATCTAACCAATTTGTTTTGGAATATGGACTGCTATAATTAACTGCTGAAGGAAAGCAGGAGGAGCAGTAAGATGGTCCTCTTCTCCCTGCCTTGGAAAAACAGGCAATACAGAGAAACAAGGCAGAGGAGGGTTCACATCTCTCATGTGGTTGTCACAGTCAGCATGGCTTGCTTCTAGCAAAGGGACAGGGCATTGTCACGCACACGGTGGCGGCTGTACTCTATGTTTCCTCAGCTTTCCCTTTTCTATGGGAGGATAAAGCAGCTGGGACTACATTCTCCCTTGGGCCACATATCTTACATGAAATTACATTCCCAGGTACTCATTCTTCAGGTGTTTCTCTCCTTTTGGCAGCTTTTCAATGATCTATACTGTGTGTTTCCTGCGGGACTACAGGACACACAGACAGCCCTAAGCCCCAGAACCACTCCACTGGTCTAGATGAACCTCTGGCCAAAGGTGTTTCTTAATTTACAGGTTGGCAGAAAAAAGGTAAGGATCCCTCTATGGAACACACCATCGTTAGACACTCTTCGAAGCAGGGTCTGGATGGAGCTTTGGTCTAACACATAGGGCTGCTCCGCTGCTGGACCAGCTTTGGTTGCACCAGATAAATGTGAAACCTTTGCCTCATGCTGGTGATCAGGTATTGAAATCAGTAGGTCTGTTTGTGGCATGAAATGTTATTTAACTCTCAACAGAAGCCATGGCTTTTGCCTGGCTTACCTGAATGACAAGCTCTCTGCCTTCTCTGTTAATCTTCACATGATGCAGCTCTCGGTTGGCAAAATTTCCAGAATCAATGGTGAAAATGAGGAGTCCATCCTTACTCAGCTTGTATCGGACCTGTAAACTTCCTTAAAAGCAGAGCAAAATTCTACATATGAAACCTGTGTCCATAATGAGATACTGTTCAACACCCTACCCTTACACAACATATAACTCATTTTCTGTTTATTACAGGGGAGCAACAAGGTCAAAAAGTCTTTCTTGAAGAGAAATGAAAGTACAAACTGCAACGAAAAGTGTGAAAAAAATAAAGCACTGGAAGAGTTTTCCTTCCTACTGGCTAACAAGCGCTGCTATGAAGAAACAACTTAATTAACTAAATATGTCAAAGAAGAGTATGTCTGTCTGCAGGTCAGACATTTAGCACTGCCACAGAAACTGCTCTGTGCTCATCTGTTAAGGATCGCTTCCACCAGAGGGCATGCAGGTCTTGCACTGTTCTATTAAACTAATACTGGTGGATTTTACTATTCCTTTTCATCAAGATGTAGCAGCCAATACAGAAGACAGCGATAGCCGAGAGAATTATCACTTAATTTCAAACATTTAAAGGCCCGGGTTCATTATGATTTATATGCAATGCAAGAAAAGATCTATTGTAAATGATTATACAGAAAGAATATTTTTACTTTGGTGTTCTAACGTATTTGAATAAATAAATATAATTAATATAAAAATGAATGTCAACCATCTCTTTCAGTCTTGTATCAAAAAAAGCATTGTGACTTCTGATAAATATCGCTACCATAACAAATCAAAATGCCCAAGAAAACAAGAAATTGAATATGAATTTTAATCGTTCCACAAATGACTACAGGGAATATATGTATATATATATTTAGATAAAATTAAAAAGGAAAATAACCTATTCTGATTAAATCTTTTCTAGCTTACTTTTTCTGGGAATTTAGCAGGGAGAAAAAAATTCTGTGAACTTTTGGAGCTCTTTTTATGCATCAGCAAACAAAATATGTGGAACAACAGTGGTACCATAGAGTTAAAAAGCTTTTCTGGGGCTAGTTTGGCACTGCCTCCAAGGAGAACATGAACACTGACAGCATCACAACCCCGACTGAAGGGTCTTTCATTTATTCCCTGTCCTGAAAATCATCATAAAACTCCCTCCTTTTCCTTCCACTTCAGTGCTTATGTTAGCACAAGCTCAAACTATTCCAAGCATCACTAGATTATGCAGAAGGCTACAGGCAAACATTACCTGTGCTGAATGATAGGGACCAACTGACTGGTTGTCACTGAGGGAGCGTCTGCATTGTTTTAGCTCTAGGACCAGTTTCTGTGTTTGCAGAGGCAATGCTTGTGCGCACCTTGCGCCGCAGCGCCGTGCCAGAGAAGCCCACGGCACGCCTGCATGAGCTGCTGCATATGCATGGTGCCCTGCAATGTTTCCAGAGACACCTGTGCCCCCAGAAGCAGTCTGGCTGTTTAATGAGGTGAATGAGCAGCCCTGCTTGGTTCCTATTCAGCTGTGTTAATGCTGCAAGACTGCTTGCAGGTCTAGAGTCAGTGAGAGAGGACGTGAGGCAGTTCTCCTTCATGTCACAGTGGAGATGTACCTGCTCCTTTCAGCCTTGCAAATCCTTCCTCAATTACGTCAGATCTGTTGTCCTACAAGCTACTGTAAAACCACTTTATAAAGAACTTTATAATTTCCTGCAAAGGGGGAATTTTGTCACCTCTACACAACTCACAGTGAGGTTGGTAGTCCTTCCAGATTGGACCCAGAGTCCAGTTCGAATCATTCCTCCTCCTTTTCCCTCACCAGGATGTTTGGTGGCTCAGGCTCCTAGGAGCTGTGTTTTTGTAACATTGAGTATACCCCAGATAAGCACTGCCACTCTCTGAGCTTTGGAGGACAGAAACAAAGCTTCCAAAAACAAGAGGGAAAATGAGAATGAACTACTAGGATGAAGGCTTTTTAGCTGATTGAGTGAGCTTCTGGATCAGATGAGCTTTTAAATTGAAAATTTAAAAAAAGAAGATAAAAGACATTTACTTTCTCTCACACAGTCATGAACATTAGAAGGGAATTTGTGAAGAGATCAAGGTCAGTAACAACTGCTAAATTATTCAATGTGATATTATAGGCCCTGATTCAGCTGCCCTGAATCACCCTGTAATGCTCCCATCCTCTCATTGCATGGCCAGGACAAGGAGCTACTGTCTGTCACCATTAATGTCACACTTAAAGGTCCAAACTTAAATTGCAATCCCATTTTCTGGTACTGAATGAAAGATGTATCAACAGGGAATAACAGTGTAAACATGTTACAATCACTTTACTCTAGAAAGACATGAGAAGAGAAGCCCAAGTGCAAGGAAGTTAAGGGACTTTTTTCAGACTTGCTTATTAGGGAGGTGGGAAAGTTGATAAAAAATGAAAGATTCCTGACCCTGCACACCACAGCTGAGATGAACACACAGAAGAAGCTGAAACTAAGATGTGATAGTGTAATAGATTGGTCCAAACCAAAAATAATATCCCAGCAAAAGCACTTTATAGGCTGTCTCTTACCTGGAGCTTTTGAAAGGGGTGTAATGCAAAAAATGGAACAGGGCCTAGATCTGGTCTGTGACTTTGTGCTAGTTGCTTAGTTTGTAAATGTGAAAAAGCTTCTCTGCTCTTTTCAAATGCTATGAATGTATCAGTATATAAAAGATAAACTATATCCAGGTGATCAACATAGCAACCAGCATAGTTGTGTTCAAAGAGAACCAGCAAGATATGCAATCTACCTAGGCTCTCAACTGCTGCAACAGGGATTTACCTGCTGAGCTCATCAGAGAAGCACTGATTTTAAACCAGAAGCCATCTGTTCCATTTGTTGGGAGACAATGGAAGAGGTTCTTGATATCCATTAAGAATAGATCTTACTTTCTATAGTGGTACAATTTTACCTTAAAGAATTTAAAGAGCTCAGTGGTTAACATCTTATTTTATCAAATTGCTTTCAATTCCATTGGCAACTTTTTTTGGATGGCTGCTCTTCAAAACCATTGAATTCAAGTTGCCATTTTGCCTGGGGTCAAATTTACATTAATGTAAACCAGAAGTACATGGGCTTATCTCTCCAGAGGTGTTTCAGAACTCACACCAGTTCAGCTGAGAGCTAATTTTGGCTTGTATTCAGTACTAAAACTTCTTCTGTTTTCAGAGTGCAGAATAATTTGTCTGGCAGTCTACATTGCCATTTTGCTACTTGACAAGCAACATAAATGGATTATTAATTAGTATTATTATTAAGAAATTTTTTTTCCTCTGAATTTTGATTATCTGGTCCACTGACTTTCTCCATCACATCAGCCCAGTGCCACTAACCACAAATAAAAATCTGTGCATAAACCAGCTCTATTCTCCCTATTTTCTATTCTCTCTCTATTTTGCATCATTTCTGTCTCACAATAGGGATTCACACTAATCATAAGCAGCATAATTTCTAGCAGTCTTGTTGCAGTCATGCCTGTCATCCTCTTTTCAGCTCCCCGTGTCTGAGCATGCACACCTGGAGTGCCATAATGCTCAAGCAACACATTGCCTGTTGTGTTTTCTTCCTTCTCTAATGCATGTAGAATTGCTGGAGGCACTTTCTATTAAGTCCATAAAAGAGGAAAGGAAGAAAAGAGAGAAATATCATGTTTTTGGCCTTGGGTTGGAAAATTTTACTGGGCATGTTACTCCAGCAGTGTTAGGTAAGAGTAGATTAATATTTGATTATTATAGTCATCCCTTCAGTTTCAAATTCTGCAGACTCAGATCAGCATGGACATATGCTGTGCCAGCTGAAGAACAGCCCAAGAGGGGAGCAAGCATAGTTTAGCCATAGTGTTACAGAGCACAGCATGGCCTCTTTTTGCCACTTCTGGAGGAAATGAGTCCATGTAGCTGCCCTGCTACCATGATGAGACCACTACCAGTATCAAAGCTTGCTTGCTGCATGTCGCTGTGGTCTCCAATCTGTAATCTGCAGTAGTGTAATCCATGACTGTAGGGCTGAATGACATCTCTCTGCTGATATCAAACAGGTACATAGCCATTCTAACAGGATTCCTGGGGGTCCCCTTCTGCAGAGGGAAGTTCTGGGAAACAGAGACCAAAGGGCAGTATTTATGCCATCCCATGCTGGTGACTAGGTTGGGGATGACTTTTCTGAAACAAAAC